ACAAAACAAGAACGAGGAGACGAGCAGATCCAAAATGGATTTCTCCTCCAGCCCGTTGAGCTGGTTTTCTATCCATTATTTTGATTAAGAAAATATTTACAAACTTGTTGAGTTATCATTTAGATCGCCTCAATTGAGTGGAGCACTAGATTCTAACCGTTCTTTCTGGTGTTTTGATGAAGAAAATATTTACAAAATTGCTCAAGAGTTTAGCCTCGAGACTTTGAAGGCTATGAGATGCATTCTTTGGAGAATGCACTACTCATGTGAGGAAGATGAAGTTTTCTCTCTTGCAAAATTATTATAGAAGCTGGAGGAAACATGGATGGACACACAATACAAAATGATTTTTTGGTTGATTTGTCTAGTGTTGACCTAGTCGTTTCAACAACTACCATGGAGAGAATATTTTCAGCAATGGAACATGAACATTGATTTGTGCAACAAAATGAGCGATGAATTTCTCGTTAATTACTTAGCTATTTTCTTTGAAAAAGAGTATATTATCAATATGGATGGAGATTATATTATTGATGAATTTGCTAAATTAAAAGACCTTCTTGTATAATTGGCATTGTAATGAAAACTATATTATTATATATTTTTGTTTATGGTATCTAATATTCTATTCAAATGCGGCTCAGTGCTCTTTTATGTCGTGGACCCGCCGCTGCCGTGAAGTAGCATTGTTCACATCAAAACAGAAAACCAAGTAAAATTGTCGTCTTGTGTTTTCATTTATTTTATGGAATAGGATCTCCCCGATGGGAGCTTGTGTGTTTTAATTTCTGCTTTCGAAATTTTGTTTTTTTAACATAAGATAAATGAAATTGATAAACATTAAAATTATAAAAGTTATTGAGATGCCAATAGAACCGCAATGTAATACAGTGTTACATACAATATTAGTAACCGCGGGTTAGTTCATAATCTGATGGATATATGACATAATCCGATCCACTGTCCTATCAAACTCACAACTCAACTGATCCATGCACCTGACACGAACAGTAATTAATCAGACTGACTCTTGACGGGAATGGGAATATGGGATCAATCAAATATCTGCTTAATTTCCCGATGAAACGAACACCAGGTGTTCTATTTGATGTTTGGGCCCCCAGACATGACAAAACGCTCCACCCATCTTTCATTATTGGGCTTTGGCCCACTGTATACTCGGGTCAAGTCATCAAACATTATGTCACCACTTACAACTTACACAAGTGAGGTTTACAAATAAATAAACAAAAACAAAAAAAGACCAGATCTTTAGTACAACAAGACGTGCCAATTTTGCAACGGTTCGGTTCGGGCCGGACCGACCATACTATAGAGAACAGTGTTTGGTCCAAAGAATTGAACCATCATTGTATTTGGTCCATTTTGTCTAGTTGATCCGGTCCGAATTCGGTCCATTTTTTCGTTTGGAATTATAAAATTCATAGGATCAAGAACCGGACAGCATTATACTCAGTTCGATATGCTCTGATCCAAACACTGACTTGGACCGATATGACCCTGTACGGACCGGACCATTGTACGCCACTAGTGCCCAATGTAAATGCTGAATATTATTAGCCTTTTTTTTTTTTTTTACTGACTGAATATTATTAGCCTTATAATCACCATAAAAGCATTGGAAATTGCGAACAAAAGCGAGAGGCAAATACCAAAGCTGAAAAGCACAACGTGATTAGCAACTTTCCCGATAGCTCATAAGTAACAATCTCTCTCTCTCTCTCTCTCCAACAAACTTTCCCGAAGCATTTTTCGTGGGTACGGGTAAAACCCAAACCTGAATATTGCGGGTAATGGGTGGGCATGGTTATCTCACTATCCAACCCGAACCCGCCCGATTATACACATGCATATGTATTTTGTCTAGAAATAATCATTATGTTTCTCTAGAATATTTTATATTTAGCATACAAATATAATATTTTCATGAAATTATGTTGTTTCAATTAATTTTCGTCATTCTAGTGAATTATTGTCGTACTTTTCCTCTTACGTAATGTGAGTATACGTGTGAATGTTAACATATTGGTTGGAATTATAAGGAGAAATTATTACCCATGGATAACCGTGGATACCCGAAACCCGAACGGGTATGGGCATGGTATTGATTTTCTACCCGTTTCTCGTGTGGGTACGGGTATGGGTAAAACCCGAACTACATTGGGTAGGGTAACGGATATGCACTATCCGCCCCCGACCCGACCCATTGCCATCCCTACAAACTACCAAAGTGGTGCAATGAATCGTGCGGACCACAAACATAATCATTAGGTGGAGATTCCATACCAAATCATACATATATACTACAGACAAAATACTTAATACACACAGCAAAGATTGCTTCTCAGGGTGAATTGCAAATTTGGTCACCCATATTACTCATTTATAACACTTTAGCCACCCGAATTAAAAATCATTCAACTTAGCCACCAATACTACACGTTTATGTCATATTTGGTCACTCGCCGTCTAGTTTCGTTAAGTCTGTCCTAGGTGACAGTCAACTACACTGTTTGACCGTTAAAAAGTTGATGTGTCATTTAAAAAATAATTAATTAATATATTTAAATTTATTTTATTTTACACCTCACAATTTTCAACTCCATCATTTGACCAGCTATCTTCCGTCCTTCCCTTCCCCAACCAATTAATCCAATAAATTATAAAGAAAAATTCGTTGCCCCTCTCTCTTCTCCGGCCACTGAGTTAACTTGAATGATGGAGAAGAATGTAAAAAATGCATCAAGCTTGCTTCTGGGTTATAATGGATAAGAGAAATCCATCGTCCAGCAACAAAAAAACCTTTGTAGGAAGTCAACCTCTCGTCAGAGAAATCAGTCGTCGTGTAGATGACACTACAATGGACCCCGTCTAGATCTGGAAGAAAATCGGCAGCACGGCGTCCCTGCCGTTGACCCGGGTGATACGGCCTCGAAGAAGAATCTGCGACCGAGATTCCCCCCCAGTCGAAACGATTTGACGGTGGAGATAATTGGCGAGAGGACAGGGAGGTCGAGCTTCTTGGAAGTCCCAGCAGTGACATAGCTGTCGTCAGGGAGCCATTCTCGGCGTCGGAAACAGTGGTGTCGCAATCAATTTGAGTACTTTTAGGGGATTCACTCTTTAACTCCATCGACCCACCACCCAGAGGGAGAGGAGCATGTGTCGGAGGAGGAAGAACGGTCGGCTACAGATTTTGTAAAGGGAGAGACAGAAGGGAGTCGGTAGATTTGGGAGGAGATTCTCCGAATGGTCGATTTTGTTGTTTCTTTCTGCCTATTTTTCTCTCGGAGAGGGCGACGACGATGGCGGCGGAGATTGCGATGGCGAAATTGTGGCATAGGAGGAGATCGGCGATTTGTGTGTTAGTGGGTAAAGTTTATTATTTTATTAAAATAAATTGAAAATTGAAACTTGTGAGCTGTAAAATAAAAAAAGTAATTATATTAATTAATTATTTTTTAAATGACACATCAGCTTTTTTACGGTCAAATGTTGGAGTTGACTGCCACCTAGGACAGACTTAACAGAACTAGACGGCGAGTGACCAAATATTACATGAACGTGTAGTATTGGTGGCTAAGTTGAATGGTTTTTGATTCGGGTGACTAAAATGTTATAAATGAGTAATATGAGTGACCAAATTTGCAATTCACCCTTGCTTTCTCATCTCTTTCTGTTTCACATTTTCTATTCATATTCAGATTCTCTCCTTTGATTACGGCAGCTGCTATCTCTCTTAATCCGTGTATTTTGTTTTATACTATAAATCAATCATGAAGTATACCATGTACCCAAAAAAATGGAATAGTGATTATATCATACAGGTAGGGATGGCAACCAAACCCGAACCCACGGGTACCCACCCGACCCAACCCGGTCAACGCGGGTAAAATCCGTGTTGACGGGTTTTGGGTTGGGTTTGGGTTTAAACCCGTTCACTATTCACTGGGTTGGGTTGGGTTTGGGTTTAGGTAAACCCGACCCGTGGGTACCCGCCCACACATATAATTAATTTTCTCGGTATATTTAATATTTTAAACAACTAATCTTATTTATGTTTGTGGAGACATGTCTAATTTTTTCTTTCTAATTATGTAGAATGAAGTTTGTGTTATCGAGTGGAGAGTGAAGAAACTTAATTGAAAGGAAGAAGCCTTCAATTAACATGTTATTTATGGATAATTTATGATTTACTTCAATTTTCTTGAGTTTTCTAGATTGCGTTGAACAATTTGTATAGTTAATTTGTGATTTGCTTGAATTTTCTAGAATAGTGTTTTAAATATGGATAATTTGTATTGAGAGATTGATATTTGACTTTAATTTTGATAGGAACATGTTATTGTAAATTTTTTACGACAAAAACCCGTGGGTACCCATGAACCCGCGGATACCCAGCGGGTTGGGTTGAGTTTGAGTTTTTCAAACCCAGTGAGTTTTACCCCGGGTTTTTTTCACGGATAAACCCATGGGTTTGGGTTTGGGTTTGGCAAAACCCGACCCAACCCGACCCATTGCCATCCCTACATACAGGTCTCCCCTCGCCAAGAATCTCCAAATGCTAAAATAAAAATCAATTACTTCTTAAATGTTTATTGACTCCAGAAATTCAGATCCAACATGTTGTCAATGTTTTCATCCTATAATACTGCTGCTAGGTCTTGCCCTACCTCTTCGAACTGCATTATGAGGAATGGTAGTTACCTCCCAACTAAAGTGTTCAATTATTAATATGTTATATTTTCCTTAACAATATTAGGGGGCATTCTAACTATCTAGGTTTGCATTTTATGCGATATGTGAAATTTTAAATTTTATATATATTATAATCGTGTCTGATTTCAACTCCTAGTCCTCCTCCTTCTGATTATTTTTCTAATGTAAAATGTTTACATAAGAAATAATCTCGTATCTACAAGGGATTAAATGGTTTTATAAGGTCAACTTAATTATAACAATTAAAATCAATTAAGATGGGTCACATGTATTGGGTGTTTGGGCTCATGGCAATTGGCACCAATGTCATCACCCCTACGACGACACTCTAAAATTTGACTAAGTCTTGGAGCACTCCTCATGGTGTGATTAGGGGAGTAGTGAGCATATACCCCTTCTCGTGTGGCTAGGAGTGGGGTAGTCAGAATACCCCCTAGTGTGACGAGGTGGGGTAAATTTGACTAAATATAGAGAGAATGGTGGTTCTAAGAACTTGACTAAGTGTTGGAGCACCCCTTCTGGTGTGATTAGGGAGTAATCAGCATGCCCCTCTGGTGTCAGTGGGAGGGAGTAATCAACATGCCCACTGGTGTGGTCAAATGATATGGATGGCAAGGAAGAGGAGGGTAAAACACCCCCCCCCCCCCCCCCCCCCCCCCCCCCGCGTGACGAGGTGGGTGCCAACATAGTTGCCCGAATTTTGTCAAGGCGAGGAGGCTCAATGTTGTGTTGAGGAGGGGGTCATCAGTATACCACCTGGTGATTGGTGAATTATTTTTTGTCATATTTACCCATGTGATTCTAATACTCACCTACATGTGGCAAGACGGGGTCTTCATGCCTTAACCGTTTTTCTCATTCCAAAACTCAAACTAAGGAGAAGCTACAAGAAGAGGGGGTCAAGACGGAAAAATGTGACATACTGCTATTCAATGTCAGGGCATCATTGGAGCAATTGAGAGGATAACCGTCACTCCATGTCAACTGAGCAGTTTCTCGAGACAGTTACTTCTAGTGGTTGTATGTAAATAGAAGGTGAACATGACAGAGAAAGAGTTCACAATAATCACAACTTGACACGTATCAAATTTTATCCTTTTATCTTTTCATCTTTAAATTTAGTCATAGTTGTAATTATAGCTCTCACTAAACCATAATAAAAGTATAGTTAATTTAATTTAACTTGATATCGTGAATCATAAAAACATCGAACACTGTGGTTGAACTTTGTTCAATGAGGAGCCGAAAAGTGAAAAAGCTATCACAACTCACAAGCCACAACCCCAAGAAAACGCACCGTTTTGGAAGAACCTGGAAGTTCACTGACCCGATGCATTCGCTTTCCCATAGTTCTTCCCCTGGCTTGGGCGGCACAGTACTGTCGAGCCGGTGGAGGAACGGCGAGGGAACGAACAAAAGCTCAGCCACCTTGGGCGAGTTTTCTTTCTCATCAAAATGGGTTAGTTTGGTTCTCCCCTATCCTATTTTTATCTTCTTTTTCTCGCTCTTCTTTCTCACGGTCTGTGCTGATGTTGATGGGTTTCCGTGTTTCTGAATTGTGTTCGATGGCAGAGGACGGTGAACGAGGTGAGGAAGAACAGCTGGAGGTGGAGGTGAAGGAAGGAATAGCATCAATAGCTTTGTTGCCATGTGGGTCAATCTCTGGACACTTCATTCAGCTTCCTGGGTCCATTTGCTATGGCCTTCACGGCACTGGTAAACTAACTTAGCTCCTTCCTTTTGTCCCCAATTTGTATGTAGAATCTGCAATTCTGCATTGAGCTGATGTAGCCTCTTATGTAAGTCTCGAATCAGTGGATGTGTGATCTGTGGAAACTGTGTTGGTATCGAAGTTTGGTCAAGCTAGTCCTGTAAAAGTACATAGTGCAGCTAAACTACTGTTGGATGCTAAGTTTGGTTCCTAGTTTTCGCTTTCTGGCTATTATTCTTTCAGGTGAAGTTGAGTTGCTAGAATGGTTTTGTCATGGATACAATGAGTTTGAGAAGTTCTAGTTCAGCCTGAGATGCTTTTGTGTCAATGTGAGGGTGCAATTTGATCAGATTTACCTCTCTAGGTGAATTATGGGTGGGTTTGTGTAGTTCTAAATAAATGTGTTGCCTTTACTTAAGAGGTATTTCAAAATACATAGTCTTGTAGATGCTTAGAGAAGTGAAATCGACATTAAGAACCCTCTCTTGTAGGATGCATTTCTCTATTTAATTGAACTGGAGACTGGAGAGGGAGAGTCTCAGTGGGAGATCAGCGGACAGAAAGCTGAGACCTTTCTCTGATGAGTCCACGTCTCAACCACCACATCACAAGTTGGAGAAGTGCATTTTCAAATACTTCTGACTCATGTATTTGGGATTGCATTGTTTTGATGCATTTGATATTTGCATGTGGAATTTAAAATCCACTCAAATACATAAAAAGAATCAACGAAAGACGATACCTTTTGCTCAACTGCATGCTAATCACTAATTGTCACCCTCTCAAATTCCTTCATCTCAGTTTCAGAGAATTTTGGCCTACTATTATTTAATTATAGATTACTATTATTATCTCGCTATGGTCGTTTCTTGCTGAACTTGTTCATTTCTGGTCCAAAAGAGGTAGCTTGTGAAAGAGAGTGCAGCAGGGGTGAGGATTATCGCCTGATCAAGCTTACCATCATTGACTATAATGTATGCAGCACTGTAGTTGTCAACTTTCCTTCTCCTTCTTCCTTCATACCGCATTTCTCATTCTAAGTCATCCCAATAATCTTTAATGAATGATCTCTGCAACAGAGCAAGAAAGAGCAAGATGTCATGGTTGAATGTAGAGGTCACGACGCTGCTCGGTTATCTAACATCGACCATGCTCATGGGTACTGGAGAAACTTGATTCCTTGCCTAATTCGTAGCATCAAACAGCAATTTAAAAAGTTACGAGATTTTGTTTTACTATGATTTTTATTTTCTTGTTCGGCAGGTGGGGAAAAGATGTTGCTGGAATGGTAGAAGATAAACATGGCAAACAAAGCAAAGTCTCGGTTTCATTCGAGTGTGAGACCCTGAAAGCTGATGAAGCAGCTGCAGACCATATTAGGCAGTTCATGCCCAAATTATCTGGCCAAGCAGATGTTGTAGGTAGGTAAATTCATCCATGTCTTGTTGTCGAAACCATTCAATCGTATATTCCTTTCAGCATTTGACTGTGGGAAACCGCAGATCAATGGTTTGTGAAGATTTGTTTGATAGACCTTGTAGGGCAAGCAAATCTTTTTCACTGGTTCATTTAAAGTTCGTTGTTATATTGCAGTTAATATTGGGAGGATGAGCATTTCCGGGTTGAATTTTGGAGCAGAAGAGTAGATTAGATGCCCACCCCTGAGATTGTGTAGGGACTAAATACATTGGCGTAGCCCATTTACGTCGCAGTGGGGTGCAAGAAGAACTCCAGATGATTGTTAGCAACATCAGCTTTGTGACATTTGTGTTTCAAATTGAAAATTTCAAAGCCTCCTATCCATGTAGTGAAAACAAAACGGAGTTATGTATTTGTTGAACGTCAGATGATCAGAGTGTGATCTGTAAAAATGAAGGTTGACGAACTTGTTGATCGATGCAAAGTACAGGTCCTGAAAGTCGAGCGGAGACAAAGATAGAGTCGGATCCCATTATTAGGAGGATATTTATAGGGTAAAGGGCTTTGACAGCTTTTGACGTAATAATGTGGCCATTGAGACTTGAAACAAGCTCGGAAGGTGATCATTTAATACAGACCGATTTAATCACACGCAGTTTTGGATGAATCGTTGCAGATACACTTATCTGCAATTCTAACAATATGATGTGTACAGACAACTTACAACATCACTTGTAAGTAATACTACCACAACAAACAAGGATGGTCAGTAACGCCTATAAAAGGCAAACGCTTCAAACTTTCAGGCGAGATGCAAGAGCAGCAGCAGCAGCAGCGGAGCAAGCTTTACAACAGCAGTTGCAGATAGAGAAAGCATATCATTTTGGATTCATGTCCATTGTCATTTGTCTCCATTCAGTGAATCGCCATCCATGCTGCACAGAAGAAACATTATATATAAAATGTCAAGTTACAAGTCATTCCTATTATTTCAGGAAAATCTTGCATTTCAGGACTCATGTATCTATTTGCAGAATATATGACTTCATGTACTTAGGAAATCTTTGGTAAATCCCCAAAGCTTTCACGAATACATACGTTTGGTGATGCATGCATTGTTAAAATACATGTAGTCTATGATGTATGATAACATTGTCTCCCACCTCAAGCCATTTTATAGGCGTTACTGCCCATACTTTTGATGATGCAATAGCAATAAAAAGAGATACATTGATTCCCACCTCAGGGCTCAAGCCATTTGGACAACATGCAATTCGAGAAACAAAAAGTAAAAAAATCCTAAAGATTAGTGAGCTTCCAAGAGCCAGCAGTCTCGGTTTCTTTGGATACCAGCCCTGTAAAAGCTTTTAACTCAAAAGAATTTCAGGATACAGACACACAGTGATTAGCATACATTCTGCTTTATATTTTTTTTCCTTTCTATTCCTGATCTTCTAGGAAAAGTTATACTTAGTTAGGAATTATTATAGAATTAGTTTCTTCACCCATTAAGCTTCCTTGTAACTCTTGTATAAGGAGGTTAGTTGTACAGCATTCGCATATCAGATCTCAGTATGGATTTTCAGAGCTTTTGGAAGAACTATTCCTTGTGATTTCTAAAACTTAAATCAACTTTAGGTGGTGGTGCCAAGCTTATCACTGGCAATCCATGAAAACCCCTAAATTTCCACTCTTTCATAGAATTCAAGCAGCTCTATGTTTTACAGAGAATATGACAGCAACCTAGACACATCAGCAAATCGCCCTTCATTGTTTATATTAGTATTCATTGCAAATGGGAGAGAAAACATTTAATAATGAAGAATGACCTTAAAGTATTAGCTCAATATGATTCAAGAAAAAATGAGGTTTTTAGTAAAGGAAAGGAAGATTACCTGGGTTCCAATCTAACTATCACTCGATCTCGGATACCTCTTCAGACTCTGACAAGGGTAAGAGGGTACATATTCCCAACATATGACCATTAAGGCAAACATAATACTCAATGCAATCATCATAGGAACCCAATCTGCAGCTTGCACTTGTTGGTACCATCTTTGCTTGAAGCATGTTCCAAAGCTTCGCCTTACAATATGGACACACGTGTGTAGGGTGCAGTGGGGCCCTTTTTTGTATCAGCATCTTCCTGACTCTTGACATTGAGAATGACTTGAAAATCCCTCTAAAAAACCCTATGTCCCCTTCATCCCCTTGGTCTAGATGCTCACATGGGTCCGAAACATATAGAACATCAGTTCTACATTGAGGCAGAAGAAAGGATTTCCCCGAAGTTCTAGAAAAGCGAGTCCTGTAAACAAAATGGCCAGGTATCTGAATGTTATTGAATAGACCACCCCTGGTACATCCTGAACAGTAGATGAGCAACTTCCCAAGTGCCCTCCAGTTTCCATCAACACTGTGACTTCCACTTGATTGTAGATCAACCATCATCTTTGGAGCCCTTGTCTTGCAGAACTCTTTCCACAATACTCGCTTGGCAAGATCATCAAACCACTTGCACGAACATGATAGAGCAGCTATCAACTTGGGGTTCCAGTTCAGCTGTTGAAAGACTAAAAATATAACGTCTTCACTTAGATGCCCTTTTGTGCATTGACAGCTTGACGAGTGTATACATCGGTATTGCTTTGTTAGAATCATTGGATGTACCTAGTAAGAAACAAAGATAATGTATAAATTTCAATATCAGTCTTGCACACAATTATTTTACTCGCCTATAATTGTGTGCACAGTTGAATATCAGTCTTGCACACAATTATTTGACTCGCCCCTCTAAGTCTATCTGTCTTAATGTCAGAACGACCAAGCACCCGGACCTGACTAGCCATAACCCTAAAACAAAGCAAGTTCCTGATGTTCAACTTCATATTACATGGACCAGCCGTTATACAAAATTGAAGATAAAGGCTACTGGCATAGCAGCTCAAGCATGATTCATAAATCAGCGAGAAGGAAGGAGCTGAAGCAATGGCAACTCCGACTCGGAAGCTAAAGTCTGCTTGCCTCATGCTACAGGGAAAGCAACCAAAGCGGTTGCTTCCAAGTGCATCTTCCGCTGGGCTAAAAGGACCATTTAGTAGAACAACATTCCAGTAGAAGAACCATCACAGCAATTGACAAAAACAAACAGCTGATCCATGCAGCATCTGTGCCCCTGCGGCTCTGCGTTTCCCATTCTGGATGACCTATTAATGACTTGTCTGAAAGAACATACTAATCTGTAGGTAGCTCAAGCCCCAGCAATCTCTGAGGCCTCCAATAAAACATAGTACAGGGTTTACAAATACCCAGTACTCTACCAGCGAGCTGTGCTCCTTCGACGGGAGAAAGCAAACCCATTCTGAAATCTAAAAGCAGGGACAGTAGAATATAAAAACAAACTAAATAGAATCTGGGTTTGAAGAACCAAGGCCAAAACCTTGAATTTCCGAGCAGCAAGCGATGGGGTTGTCTCCAGGCACAAGCAAGCTCAGGCAGAGACGAAGGTGATAGAGTTCAATTGGTGTTTCCTGGCCGGAAGGATGGCTGAACTGTCCGTAATCCACCAAAGAGAGGAGAGACACAGGCAGCCGGCGGTAGATGCCGACGACCGGCGATCACTCCGCAAAGCTGTGCTTCTTTCTCTCGCTCTGTATTTCGATTCAACTCAAGGAGCAAAAGAAGGACCGGACCACTTCCCCTCCCTTTCTCCTATCCTAATCCGCCCTAAAAATCCATGCCGTCTCTCTCAGCTCTCAACCCCCGATCCAGTCTCCCCGTTCAGCTTTTGTCCTTTCCCTTTCTTTATCGTCATTTCTGATTTTCCCCCTACCTATTTCTTTTTCTTTTCTGTCTTTGTATTATTTATTCATTTATCTTCCTTTGTCTGCCAAACCAAAGGTTCTCTTTTTTTTTTGACAATTAAACCAAAGGTTCTCCAATGGAACGCAAGGGAGAAATATCTTTTTTGGAGCTCACCTATTTTAAAAACAAAATACACTATCATGCCACAACTTTTATATTTGTTGTAATTATAGTCCAATCTTTCAAAATACACAAAATAATCACTTTCGAGTTTTGTTCCCGCGTTCATCTCTTTAACGGTGTTATGATTGGACTGACGAAAATGTTGAGTTGGTGTGGGAAAAAGGTCGATTCGCCTCTACCGAAGGCTGCTCCAACCAACGTAGATGGCAAACTGCCGGCGTTGAAGGCTGGATTTCTCCGATTCAGGGACTCGGGGAGTAGAAAGGAGAAATATCTTTTTTGGAGCTCACCTATTTACTTAAAAAAAGGTGAGATATACAATTTAATAAACCAATGAATCGTCAACAAGGCAACTCATAAGATATGGATCGATTTTCTCATAAATCGGTAGCCGAGTTGGCTTGCTAGTCACAATGTTGAGACATCTCATGAGCTCAAAATGAGACAGTCCACGAGTTGAGCTCAACAAGAAACCAAATCGAGCTGACTCACAAGCCTCACGAGCTGAACAAAGCTTAGATCAAGATCTACTCGCTAATAAAAGAGATGAGCTTTTCCTGAATCAAACGAACTTTTCTCAAGTCAAACATCGAACCGCTCATGAATAGTTTGGCTCATTAGTATGACCAAATTAAACCACTCATACCAAAATCACTAATAACAGTAAGAACTCTTAAGGAATCAAACTAATTACACTTTTTAACTGAACCACAATTGATAAAATACAATTGGTTAATGTACAATTGTACACCACTGATCACTTGTCGTATGAGCATGTCATTGATGACATTATTTTTTTTAACATACAAAATTGTGTCATTTATTGATTTCTTTTTTTCTATGCAAAAAATTAACATATGAGTTTTTTTTTTTTAAGGAAAATTAACATCTAAGTTGAAATGAAGATAAGGCTCTTTTAAAATTGATGGAGAAAGAAATAATGAAGGAGAGAGAGTGTATGGCATATAGAATACTCTAGTTTACTAGAGGTTCTTTTATTTTTATAATTATAAGTTTTAATTCTAATTGAAAAGGTTTAATTTATCATTCCTATAACCATTCTCGTTAAAAAAATTCCAAATGGTGAAAATATATCCTCAAAACTGCATCATATGTTTGGTTGATGATTGATTGATGCATCCTTATGTTTGGGTGCAAGCCCGTTACGGAAAAAATTCTAAAATACACATGCTTTTAAAAAATATTCTCAAAATACACACGTTATAAAAAATTTTCACAAAATACACATGTTTGAGCATCACCGCTGTTGTCAACCGCAGTGATTGCATTCACCGCGGCAGACCAAAGAGGTGAATGCATCAACCGCGGTGAATGCCTGACGTAACACTAAAACTTCAAATAAACGTAACTTTGCGCTCGGTTATCCGATTGTAGCGAAATTTTTTTTGATTCCACATACTTTTCAATATCTTTCAATCTACAACAAGCCTTTATCCCAAAAAAATTCGTTTGCTACCCCGAACGAGTAATTTTTCGATTTTGACAAACTTTGGAAGATCATAACTTTGTGCTCCACAATCCGAATGTCATGAAACTTTTTTTGATTTCGCATAACTTTTGAAGTACTACAACTTTTATTATAACCATAATTTTGGAAAGTATGTGGATTTCTGTAAAGTAAAGGCAAAGTTATTGCCAAAATCCGGTATACCCAAAAACATTTATTTTTGAAAAAATTCTTTCCTAGTAAAAGTTGTAGTTCTTAAAAAGTTATGCGCATTCAAAAAAAACTTTACGCCGTTCGGATTGACGAGCTAAAAGTTATGGCCTTCTAAAGTTTGGAAAAATCGAAAAATTGCTCGTTCGGGGTAACAAACGACATTTTTTTTAGATTAAGTCTTTCTTCAGAGTGAAAGATCTTGAAAAGTTATATGGAGTAAAAAAAATCGCTACAATCGGATAACCGAGCGCAAAGTTACGTTTGTTTGAAGTTTCAGTGTTACGTCAGGCATTCACCGCGACCATCAACCGCGGTGATGCATTCACCGCTTTGGTCTGCCGCGGTGAATGCATTCACTGCGGTTGACAACAGCGGTGATGCACAAACATGTGTATTTTGGGAAATTTTTTTATAATGTGTGTATTTTGAGAATTTTTTTAAAAAAATATATGTATTATGGGATTTCATCCAGCCCGTTACTCCCCCACCCAACCACTACCCCAAGTCTCCAACTAACACAACACATTTCTTGTCATAAATCAGTTGGTCCATTAACTCGAGTCGTTGGCAGAAGATTATGTTGGATCTTATACCACTCTCTAACAAGCCTTCTCAAACGAAAGACAACTCATGGGCTCAAAGTTTGCACAGGGATCACCATATCTTGTGCATTCTTAATAAACTATTAATATTGGGGTCATGGAGATTCGTACACACGACAACTTTGCCAAACCAGCTCTGAATACTTATATATAATAGGAGCCCGCTCTGGCGATTGGGGTCGAAAGAGAGAAACGGTCCAGCTGGCCCAGGAGATGCAGAAGACCGAGTGGGTTGAAGAAGATGGTCTGGCCCAAGGTTGTACCGTTGCTGATGTTGTTGTCGAGAACCACTGCTGACTCCGCCGCCGCCACAACAAGAGGACTAAAGGGAGCTACTACCGTGATTGCCACCATTACGTCCACCACGACGAGACTGGTCAGAGTAGAGGTGGTGGGAACAGAACTCAGGCGAGAATGTTCCTTCAGATCCGCTTCGTATTCCACAAGAGAATCAAGAAACTCTTTGATGGAGATTGTGGTGCCTCTAGCTCGAACAGTTGTAGAGAAATGATTATACTCCGAACCCAGACCACAAAGGCATTGAAACAACAAGATCAAGATCCGAAACAGGTTCACCAACGAGGGCAAGTTCAATCGCAGTCAGCTTTAGGTCATTCACAAAGGTAAGAACTTCTTTGTTCCCTTTAATTATGCGATTTAACTTGCCCTTGAGATTGATTATGCGCAATTGAGAACGACCCGCGTATAATTTTTCTAGCGTCAACCACGCTTCACGCGAGGTACTAGACTACTAGCAGCAGAGACAAAGGAGTATAGGATTCAGAAATAGAGCAACGAAGGGCATGAAGAATCAACTTATCTTGCCGGATTCTGCCGATTGGTGTTTCTCTCTCTAACCTTCCTCTCTTAAACAAACACCAAAATGTCAGACCAACATTAGGCGGCCCAATCAAACTCGCAGCAAAACCAGGCTTGGGCCACGTTCTCCTTAAGCCCAAGGCATGGGCATTCGTTCTCCCAACTCAACCACGTTCGATACTCCTTCTGCCAAACCCTTCTTTCAATTTGTTTGTTTCCTTCCTCAGGCTCAATAGTCAATAGTCGTTGTCCTTTTGTGGGTGGAAAGCTCAGTGGTCACGACTCACAAGTCTTCTTCCCTTTTAAGTTTTAACGGAGTAACTACTCTAGTCGCTTAACCCAAAAAAAAAAAAAGAGAGATAATTTAATTTGTTGTCTTATTATATAAAACGAGTCATTTCAAATTATTTGTACAAATAAGGATCAATTGAAATTCTACTTACCAAATTTCTTCATCAAACTAATCAATTTGATCCAACAACAAGTTTCTTTATTGTGTTCTATAGTGATACAACAATTCGATTTATCAAGGCGCAGCAACTAAAAACAAGTGATTGGGAAGAGAAATAAAGCCGACAGAAGCAACCAGTCAACTGTGTTCCTACAATGAGAATGTATGGGCTCAGGCTTTCAGTTTTGTGCATACATCAGTTTCCATATCCAAGCAAACCTTCAAAAGGCTGCTCACTTTCCCCTGCTGCCCTAGCTGCTTCAGTTCCTTCCTAGCTATATGTCAAACGAAGAGTGGGAAAAGGCGTTGTGTCAATCAATCTCTCTCTCTCTCTTCCCTTTTTTTTTTTTTTGTCCTTCTGGCTTCTTGAACTGGTGGGTATTATGATCATGATCTGTTCATTTTACCTTCAGGCAATTGTCCCATTGAAGAAGCAAACGAAGGAAGTGGGCAAATTTCCAGGAGTAGGTAAGTGGCAGGAAATGGGAATGAGGAAGTGACACAGCAATAGTTGAAAAAGCTGGTTTGCTTATTGGATTTTAAAATAAGGGTTGGGAGTTTTAAATTTGTTTTTGTTTTGGATTTAGATGATTTGTTGCATTACGGATTTGAAATAGTTTATTGTTTAGTTGATTTTTTACAATGGATTTAAAGATTTGTGTACCATTCATGACCATCAAATTTTTGTTTTTCATAACCAAATCCAAAATGAAATGTGGGTTTGCAAATTCACGTGGTCTACAGTATACATATTGGATTGGGAGTCATTTGCTTGTTGGATTTAAAAAAAAAACAAAAGTTTTGGTCATATTTTGGGTTTTGAAAAAACTTGGACTTTGTGATTGGAATGGATCCATTATGGATTTGAAAAATGATTATTTGCTTGTTGGATTTGATGGTAGGTTTGGTCGAATTAGATTGTACGTATATAACACATTTTATAATATTTATGGATTTGGTCCAAATATCACCCATAGACCAGGTTTTTGCAAATATGTGGACCTCATGAATTTGACGTCTCAAAAATTGTCAAAGCAAAAATGTGTTTTGTACCAAATCTATAATGATCATGGACTAAGACTTGAATCCATACTTCAAATCCATTAAGCAAACAAACCCTAAAAAAACATGTCAAAATCCTTATGTCCCACGGATTTGTATACGTCAACAAAAAAAAAATTGTGTCAAGTACATGATGCTAGAAATTTCGGGACAAAAAATGCATCACCCAAATCCCACAAGCAAACGATATCTAAACCAAAAATTATAAGAGAAAAATCACCCCGATACCAAACTTAAGCGATTTCGATAAATAGTAATCTCCGAGTCTCATTTATTCTATCTCTGACACAAATCCAATACTATACATATATAGTTACTTCTTGATCTGATCATCAAACCCTAGCTACTACGCGGCTTAATTTGGGAACTGCGTCATTAAGGAAGTTACACAAATCATCCCTAATTAAGTACACTCGTCACTCTAACAGTATAACTATGGCTTCCTTGCTCCTTTCAAGGTTGTCAAACAGATTTTTACCGTTGTGTCGGTTTGGCAAGTGGAATGATACAACCGGTGGTATAACCAGTTTGTGCCGGTTCACGCCGGTTTAAAAAATATGAAAACAATTAATATCCAATGTATTTAATCATATATAAAACATATTTGTGGAAAATTTAGTTACAATCCAACAAATATCATCATCTTTTAATTATTATATTCATAAAATGAATAATAAATTAATTTTTTATTTATTAAATTCATTAAAATTATGTCATTAAACTTAGAATGCGTAAGTCGATCATACCGGTGATACCGGTGGTGTCATGTCGATTTCATAACTGGCACAGGTTGAACCAGGTTGAACCGGGTGGCATGCCACCGGCATGACAACCATGCTGCTTTGTCACTGGTCATTTAGCCCTTTCTTGCAACAATAAAGTCAAAGATAGAATCCCAGCCATTGTTGAGCCAGGCAAATTTCGCAATTGCATGGTGGGATTTCGTGCATGCACAACGCAACAAAGACGGGACAAGTAACATTACACGGATTTAGCCAATCCATCATCCCAAAGACCCAATGGCCAGGCTTCAGACTTACTTCAGTTGCGCGACAATGACAAAAAAAAACAAAAAAGAGATCACAGCAGGCAGGGAGACGCAACACAACAATGGCTTTTTATGTGCAAGTGTGATGGAGTTTCAGAAAGAAAAAAAAAAGGTGGCAAGAAGAAGGAACAAGTAGTAGAGAAAAAGTAAAACTAAAACCTTAACATTGGCACGTGATATGCCAAAATATGCTTTCTTTCCTCGTCTGAGCAGAGTATCCCCTGCCAAACTGCGACCAAACAGTAGAATCCAGAAAAGAGTTCCTGATCATGTCCGTTCTGTAATTTTTCCTCTTCTTGTGAAGAAAAAACAATATATTTTTTTTAGTTGAGGGAGAAAATTTTAGGTAACTTGAACCAACTAACTAGTTGATCTCAAAAGGATAAGTGTATTAAGCCTGATGATTTGTTTGTAGGCTGGAGATGGAACCACGCCTGCAGGCTGCAACAGTCTACCAAGTTTAAAAAGGAGTAGAGTGGTTGAGTTATGAGAGTGATTATTTACATCAACTTTAAGTGAGATTTGAGTATTAAATGCAATGTCAGACATTCTGGTGCCTCCATCAACAAGGAAGCAATACCTACAATTAGTATTTCATGTTGTGTCAGAGCTCTTCTGTTGTCTGGGAGGAGTAGGAGATCGTCCCATGAACGGGTTAGGATTTTAGGTTAGGGAGACCAAAACAGATTAACAATTACAAAATTCAACAAATAAATATTGTTTTCAATTGTATAATATAATTATTGGACGTGTTCATTGGTTCAAGGTATGTTACAACATATGTACCGTAATTTCCATTTATAAGAAAATCTATACTATGGGTGATTAGATTATAGCAAGGGGTCAAATTTCAGCGCTGTTGTCAGAGAGTCTTAAACCATCATGAAGAGAACGAGGTAAGAGTTCTATCAACTCTTTTTCTTTTATTTATTATTTTTAGTTTTGTTCATAATTTTAATTATGTTCGTGTTTCTATCAAGTCTAGAAAAATATGAATATATAGTTCTTTGTTTCTTCTTGAAGATCAAATCTAGTAGAAGTTCATTTAGAACTTTCCTCGTTGCACTAGTAGACTAGAGTCTGCGTATTCTAAAAGGTTGTTCGCTTTTAGGATTTTCAATAACGATTTTGTATCAAAATCTCACACGCACAGGGTTATGCAGAAAAGTCCATGTTTGATATTAAAGTGGTGTTGGATTATGGTCTCTATGGTCATGTGCGTTGGATTATTTTGGAGTCAAAATCCACTAGGTCCACAAATTATAAAATCCCACACATTTAATTAGGATGTTACGAGAGACTAAAATCCATGATGGTAAATGACGGATCTATCCTCATTTCATGTCAATATCACTTAAAATCTATCATGTCAATAATAAAATATGAATTTGGTGGGAAAGAAACCAAAGTATATGAGTTTATTTAATAATTGAGATTGTTAAATTTGATGTTTATAAAATAAAATGTTTTCTACTTCTCAATGATAAATTCCGAAAATAAAATTAGCACACGTAAGTAGGGTTGGGAAACAGGGCGATCTTGTCCAGATCATACCATATATACGGTCTATGGTACAGATCGAGAGAGTGGAGTATATACCACAGACCATACCATGATTGTGCGGTCCATACCAGACCACATATGTGCGGTTTAGTTTGATACGGTCTGGTCCAGATAAACCGTAATGAACGAAAAATGAACAAATTTTTAAGTCAACCACAAAGAAAAAATGAATCAATAACTGAGAAAAAAATGTTCTTTTGCCTTAGAACACAAACTCCAACATTCATGAGGAATTTTGAGACCCTAAATCTCAATAAACAACAAAAGTACAAAGTCAAAGCATCCCAACTTGCACCATAACGTTATAAACATTAACATAATGTCATAGGGAGACACGTTTGTCTCTACTGTATGATGAAATGTGGTTGTGAATGAAAGAGAGGATGGGTTTCTCGAAATTATGGTTGAGACTTGGGTCATGTTTGGGGAATCGAGAGAGTGGTGGACTTGGTTGCTAACACATATTGAGAAATCGACCGAGTCCACGATTTAATCTGACACACTACGGTTTACACTAGACTATACCATACCAACAAATCAAAACATCACATGATACAGACCATAAACCAGACCAAAACATTTTTAACCATCTACAATTTGTACCAAACTGTATATTCCAGTTTGATCGTTAATTTATCAAACCGTCTCATTTATTTTCAATCTTATATCTACAATATATATTCTTTTTCTATTTTATGAAGCAGCATAACCATATCCATATTACATTTTTTCACAAAACTAGAAAGTTTTTATCGGTCTTGTAAAACTAAAAGCCGTAGAGCACAGTAGAAGGCGCCTCGGAAAGGAAAACGTCGCCTTTCCTCTCATCTCATCATTGTCACGCCGCCAAACTCAGCACCTCCCCTTCCCTCTCACTCTCTCTCCTCCTTATAACGCCAAACACATAAAAGAAAGAATTGCCAAAAATAAAGGTTATCTTCTACCAAAAAAAAAAAAATAAAGGTTATCAAACCGATTCATGCTCGGTTTAACAAGTGGAATAGTTCGACCGGTGGCACATACCGGTTCATGCAGGTAAATATGACAAATGAAATTATAAATATTTATATTTAAACATGACATTTAACGTCAATACTTAAACATTTATACTTGAATCCAACAAATAACATCAATATTTAACTCATAAAATAAATAATAAAATTATTTTTATCAATTAAATTCACTACAATAAGATCATTTTATTTAGAAATTCCTATATCGATCATGCCGATCATACCGGTAGTGTCACGCCGGTTTTATGACCGGTATCTGTTGAACCAGGTTCAATCGGTGGCACGCCGGCCGGCGTGACAATCCCTGGCCAAAATATACAATAAATAAATAAAATAAAATAAAACTATTTAGAGAAAGAAAAAGAGAAAAGAAAATTTGGACAGGAAAGGTGAAGCAACTGAAGAGACAGACAGAAGTCCTTTGCTGCAGAAAAAAACCCCTTCCCTTCACCTTCTTACCCTTCCATCATCATCATTCCTTTCCCTTTCATAGTTTCAAACAACCTCTCTCTCTCTCTCTCATCCCTTTTCAGCTTTCCTCCGTCGTCCAGAAAACCTGTGTGTTCCCCTTCCTCCAACCCATCCCCTCTCCCCCGCACCACCGCCATGTCGCCGGCAATTCCAAACTCCCACCCCCAAACCCCTTCTTCTGCTCTAAACCCCAACGCACCGCCTTTCAACAACCCACCGGCGCCTCGCCGCTCAATGCCGCTCGCTCTTCTTCCCCCTCCTCCGACCAAGACCCAAACCCACACCGACGCCAAAATTTCGCCTCTCCCTCTCAAACCCACCGCCGCCGGCGATCATTCCCAGGCCTTCTTCTATCACCCCGCTGTAATCCCCAACCCTAATCGACTCTTCTTCTACTACTACTACTGCTACCCTCTTCCTCATACACAGCTCCCTCCTGCCCCCGTCTACATGAACGACAACCACTATTACCACCCAGGAGGTTTCCGGCCGATCGCCATTTGCCCACAGCCATCCCCACCGCCGCTCATTCTGAATCACAGTACGGAGACCGTTCCCGTTCCCGTCCCCGAACCCAAGCCGTTGCCCGCTACTGTTGTGCCTAATGGTGGGGATAGGGCTCTCATAATTGGGAGCCAAAGCGGTGATGATGGTGGTTTTAAGGAGGGGTGGAGGAGGCAGATGAGGAAGAGGAAGAAGACGGTGAGAGTTTTTCACTGTGCGGCTCCCAGGAGGAGTTTCCGGTCGCTGCCTCTGGCTCAGTATCGCAAGACCAAGAAGACTTCTGCTACAGCGGCGGGGCGTGCCACTAACGAATTCTCTCCAGCCCTAACTTCTGAAGGAGGTGGAAGGACGACCTTGATGATTAAAAACATCCCCAATCGCTTCATGTAAGTTTGTTATTAAAATTGACCAAAATTTAAAAATATAAATAAATTTATTTTTTATTTTTTTATATTTGAAAATGATAAATTTTATAAATTATCAAATTAAATTTTATAAATTATATATTTTATTTTTGGGTGATGTATAAAATTTCTCATTTTCAAATTATCTAAAAAATAAAAAAGAAATTATTTTATGTTTCTTATAATTTATTTTGGTTAATATGATAATAAATCATAAAAATTAGAAAAATAATTCGAATTTGAATTTTTTTAATGATTTTTAGGCTGACGGTGAAACCATGTGTCGGGCCAATTGAGTCTATATGCTGCGTAGTTGAAGCCAGGATGTTAATTTTGAAACCACGACCGAAAGTTGATTATATGATCATAGTTCAGGCCAAAATAAGGTATTAACCCATAGATTTAAGACAGACAGTTGATTACAAAAGGTTGAAAAGTAAATAGCGATAGTCGACCGAATGCCGAGCTGCCGATGCAAGGACCGTTTTTGCCACTAAATGGGCAGCCCTGTTAGTCCTACGAGAAGCATAAACAAACTTAATGAAAAGGAAGCTTGACTTTAGCAGGCGAATTTCCTCCAAAATTGTCGTTCCGGACTTATGATGCACCTCGTTCTCCGATTCAAGACAAATTTTCTTTTCGCAGTTTCAAATCCAAAAATCGTTTCTTAGATCCGCCAGTACAAAACCCTAAGATCCGCCTGTACGTACACCATTGACCACAACCAACAAGGAAAAAAATCGTCTTTTCTTCTCCCAGCAACAAGGATACCGGGAAGAAAATTTCAAGGTTGTGACCACTCTATATATCTACCCGCTTGCTTGGCAAAATAACATCCGTAAAGCAAACCACCCATCCAAACTACTTACCACCAAGACGTACACAGTAGCAAACCTAAAACAATGGAAATCAGAGGACACCTACCACTCTTCCTCCTCGACACGATTAGTCTTCCTCCGCAGCCGCAGCAGCAGCAGCCGCCGCAGCTTCACCAACCATCAAAGTTTGCCCCCGTGCATTTGCCTCCTGAAACATCAAACGGAGCTGTGGATTCTTGGCACCTTGGTGAACCTGCACGGCAAAAGTGATAAACCCTCGATACTGCGCCAGATGGCAGGCGATTACTGAAGATACAATGAAAGTGTATTTCTTCTCTTGCTTAATATCATTACAAGGCTCTGCCATTTACAAATGGCTGAAAGGAGCTATACAGATATGAGAAAGGATTTGCAAAGATATGCTAAATAAATGTGATGACAGGTTCATGATCTTGAGAAGATTTGAGAATTGAATGTAGGACTGAACTCAAAATAGTGCTTGTCTGTTTCTGTTTCATTACGCCCCCGCAAGTGAAACCTCGGTGAGATGAAACTTGGAACCATATCGTCGACATGGTAGTCGAGTGAGAGGCTTTGTGAGCACATCCGCCAGCTGATCTGTAGCTGGTAGGTAACGAACATGTAGTTGATTCTTGTTGACCCGATCGCGTACAAAATGAAATTACATTTCCAGGTGTTTGGACCGACTATGAAAAACAGGGTTGTGCGCCAGGTAGGTTGCCCCTAAGTTATCACACCAAAGCACTGGGGATGAAGTAAGCGGCTGACCAAGTTCGGAAAGAAGTGCTTGAAGCCAGATAACTTCTGATGCCAAGGTAGCTGAGGCGGGATATTCACATTCAGTCGAAGATCGCGCCACCGACTTCTGCTTTCGAGTAGACTAGAAAACCAGATTCTGTCCATAGAACACAACATAGCCTGTAATAGATTTACGATCTTTGGGACACGAAGCAAATGAGGCATCTGAATAGCCATGGAGTTGTGGTTTAGATGAACGCTGGAAAATGAGTCTGGTGGCTAGTGTTCCACGAAGGTAACACATAATGCGTTTTACTGTAGACCAGTGTGGATCAGTTGGATAATGTTGAAACTGGGAAACATGATTGACTGCAAATGAAATATCAGGCCTTGTGATGAAACTCAAGTACTGCAGACCACCAACAATGTTGCGGTATAAGCAAGGATCATGGAATGCTGGAGAAGTATCAGAGGCACTTTGAATAAGTTGATCTATAGTACATGGAGTAGAAATTGCCTTTGCTTCAGACATTCCTCACCGTTGTAATAATTCAAGAATGTACTTTCGTTGATGTAGAATTAAACCAGTGCTAGAATGATGCACCTCTAGCCCCAGAAAATTTGAAAGTTGCCAAAGATCTCTGAGAGCAAACCGGAATCGGAGGAAAGTCATGAGCCGCTGAATTGACGAGGAATGAGTTCCGATGATCACTATATCGTCGACGTAGACCAACATATACAAAGTAACCTTGCCAGCCCTGTAACTGAAGAGAGATGGGTCTGTCTTCGACGCAATGAATCCAAATTCCCTAAGAGCTTGTGACAAACAATGAAACCACGCTCTAGGTGCCTGTCGAAGACCATACAGAGACTTGTTGAGGCGGCAGACATGGGCGGGACGGTCTGTATCGATGAATCCATGTGGTTGACGCATATATACTTCTTCCTGTAATGTGCCGTGAAGGAAGGCGTTGAAAATATCTATCTGGTGCAGCAACCAAGAATGCGATACAGCAATGCCCAGAATAAGCCTTAAAGTTGCCGGCTTGAGGACCGGACTGGAGGTCTGGTTAAAATCGCATCCCGGAATCTGCTCAAATCCACGGGCGACAAGACGGTCCTTGTGTCGTTCGATTGTGCCATCCGAATTAGTCTTGATAGCAAACACCCATTTGTTAGATATCAAATTGCAATTCTGTGATGGAGGAACGAGATCCCAAGTGTGATTGCGAATTAAAGCATCAAACTTGGAGGTCATGGAAGCTCTCCAGTGCGCAATTTTAATTGCTTGTGAAGCCGTGGTTGGAAGAGCTGGGGTAATAGATGCAATGAAGTGTCGTGGCTTTAAGTTGCCGATCTGTGAGCGAGTGGTCATGCGTTGTGGAGGAGGAAGTGAGGAAGGATTAGGGAGGATCCGGGGTGATGTGTTAAACGGAGGTCGGGATGGAATAGTAGGACGACGGAACTAAGTTTTTAGCAGAGGAGGAGCGGCAGAGATGGGAGTCGATGGCTTCGGTGATGGTGATGGAGTTGTTATTTTGTGAGTAGGGGACAGTGGGTTGGGGTGGGAAGTGGGAGGTAGGCCAGATGGGGTTGGAGGGTTGCATTCTAGTGAGGAAGAGGTGGGAGACGAGATAATGGTGGGAGTTGGGCCAAGTAATGGTGGTGTAGGGTGATGTAGCATTGATTGCTTGGTCTGTGAAGGATGGGAAAGAGGTAGGCTGGGTAAATTAATTGGGGAGGTGTCTAAAAATTGTTGGAGGTAAGGAGTAGGAGAGGAAGAGTGAGGAGTGGTTGTAAAAGGAAAAATGGACTCATCAAAGAGGACATGTCGACTGATATAAATACGACATGTTGCCCGATCAAGACATCGATAACCTTTGTCTAACTTACTATAACCCGAGAAAATACAGGGAATAGAACGGGGTTGAAGTTTATTAGATGTATATGGACGAAGCCATGGATAGCAAAGACAACCAAAAGCACGAAGATTAAGAGTATCAGGTGTTTGTTTAAACAAGACAGTGAAAGGAGAGATATTTTTTAGAAGAGGTGTGGGAGTGCGATTAATAAGATAACAGGCTGTGTCAAATGCATGAGGCCAGTATTTGAGAGGAACTTGTGCATGATGCAACATGGCAAGACCGTTGTTAACTATGTGACGATGTTTGCGTTCAGCACACCCATTCTGTTCAGGGGTTTGGGGGCATGAGGATCTATGAGTAATACCATGAGTCGCAAGATAAGAAGTGAGGGCTTGATATTCTCCACCCCAGTCAGATTGAAAAAATTTAATAGGAAGGCCAAAATATTTTTCAACAAACTGACGAAATTGAGTGAACACACTGAGAACCTGAGACTTATAGCGAAGAAAATAAATCCAGGTGAACTTACTGTAGTGATCATAAAACAAAACATAATAAGATTGATGATCATAAGATAGGAGAGGAGCGGGTCCCCAAAGATCACTACATATAAGTTCTAAAGGAGCAGATGCACGATAAGAGGAAGTTGGAAATGGAAGTTTATGAATCTTACTAAGGGAACAACCATGACATAAAGTAGAAGAGTCGGAGGAGTATTTTATTTGATGAGACGACAAAAGCTGGCGAACAGCACGCAAATTGGCATGACCGAGATGTTGATGCCAGAGATTGAGTGAAGCAACAAAAGCAGGAGGAGGAGTATGCCGGTTGATGTGAAGCGGAAGAGAATAAAGGCCATCAACCGTAGAGCCTCAATAAAGTTCATGCTTCGTGTGACGGTCCTTAATAACAAAATAAGAGTCAAAGAATTCAATGGAGATGGGGTTAGAACGGGTAAGAGAACTAATGGAAAGAAGATTATGAGGGGCATTTTTTACTCTAAGTATATTATCAAGAGACACAGAATAATTAGACAGATGACCGATAGAAGATCCTGAATGAGAAATGGGGAGAGAGTTACCTTTACCAAACGTGACTTGATTGGTTCCATTATACTCAGATTGATGAGCCAGATTATCGTGGTCGAAGGTGAGATGATGATTGGCTCCAGAGTCGAGAAGCCAGTGTTGAGAGGAGGCTAGGTACGAAGATGGGCTAGAAGAATTGATGGGAATCTGATATTTTGGGCTTGGACAATAGGGCCTAATATGACCCATTCCTCCACAATTATGACAGACCACTGCAGATGGGCCGAAGGGCCTAGAACCAAGAACTCCTGCAGACATAGATTTATTAAATGGGGCAGAATAAACAGGGGCCAACGGGTGGGCTGTCAGATGAGGTTGGGCCGATAATTCATGGTGAGCCCGTGGAGTGTTGACGCGGGAAGACTGACAGGTTGAACGTCCACCGCCTCTTGTAAAGCGGCTGCCGCGACCACGAGAGTGGCCAGAGAAGAAGGCCGACGGAGGGGCAGCACCACCAGCAGAGGAGAGTGACCGAAAACGGCGCAGCTGAAGTTCTTCACTGATGAGGAGGATGCCGAGGTCTTCAAACAAAATTGGTTCCAACTTCGCCTCCAAATTGAGGATAAATGGCAGAAAATCCTCATTGAGACCGTCGAGAATCGCAGTGACAAGTTCTGCTTCTGTAATTGGGGCTCCGAGTGCACCAAGTTGATCTAAGATGGCTTTGGCGCGTTGGAGGTAGTCATGGGCTGAAT